TGTTATCAGGTACCAGCAGAGGCAGATAAGCTCCAGCCGGTCTCGGGCCAGGATGAGGAAACACCCCCGGGCCAACCCTCCACCTTCCAGCTCATAGCCAACGCCTTCAGGAGGAGATTTAGTGTGACCCACCCCTCCAGCAGGACCAACACTGCAGTCACCATGTTCATATCAACTACTTTATCCATCATTGATTTTAAGCTCCATCATGAAGCTGCTACAGATGACGCCCTATGTGCCAGAGTCCTCTCAGCAGCAGCACTGGGTCCAATAGTCTTTCTGTTTGAGTGTGGAATGACCCAAAGTCCCTCAGTGGCAGCCTTAGTAAGAGATTTTCAAATTCTCTAGAGATGATAGGAAAGGAACTTCAATACTACCTTTATAATCACCTTAAGTATACGATACACTGGACCATCCTTTACTGAAGGAAAGGAGATAAAACTGTCCGAAATAACCGATCGTGACCATCAAACGTGGATCTTGTAGCTTACTGGGCTAGTTAGGAATTTCCTATACAAGCCTTAACTTGCGAACTGGTTTTGAACTTTCAACAATATGTTTAAACCAAAGAAGAACTTTACACTTATTCCTGTAAATTGATCAAATAAAGTCAACAGTTCACAGTGTGTATGGTGATAGGTGTTCCTTAAGCTATTCTTTAACTCATGGGTCGGCAAAAGTGGTTGGCCCGCCAGCAATAATATTTGGCACGGAATTTTATTTACATTACATTTACAATACAATATCGGACTGACAGTCGCACATATATGCTTATTGTACTTTTATCCATGTTGAGAGTGAATGACACACAGCACAGGCACAATCAGGCAGCAGGGTGCCCTGACGCTGCTAGGGGATCAATAAGTAGGTGGACAGTGCGTGGTGCTGAAATAGCCAACATGCGGTTAGAAAAAAAGAACACCAGCTCACTAAATCATTCAAACGCAATGTTTACTTATATGTGAACAGTAACAAAGTTCAGTCAAAACATTGACAACAAAATCGGAGAAGCCGCTTGATCATGGAGGCCGTTACAAGCTTCAAAGTTGTATTCATCATCTGAATTTGCCGAAACAAGTTTAATATTCTGAAAGCCAAGACTTTGTTTATTTGAAATCAGATGAAAACAAACTGTAACGGACCCTGCCGTGTTATCTATGATTACTATACGCCTTACATTCATAATGTCAGCCGGAGGGAGGGGGAGCTGCGCTACGGAACAGCAGAGTGCAAGTGAGAGGAGCCTGTCATCTTCCCTTTACAAGCTTCAAACATGTATTTATCGTGTGATTTTGGAAATAAAAGTTTCATATTCTGAAAGCCAAGACTTTGTTTATTTAAAATCAAACAAAAAAACCCGAACCCCGAAAAACTATTTTCTTATGGAAATCCACGTTTATTTTTTTGAAATGAGCCGTTGCGACTTCCGACTGATTTCAATAGAGCGGGTCACATATACATGCACATCTTTAAGAATATATGTATATGATGTGTGGTTGTGGGGAACTAGGTAAATTAAAGTACTTATTTAACTATTAAATAGATTGAGTTTGAGTAAAATACTTGGTTACTGATTCATTTAGGTTATAACATATTAAATAAGTTGCAAAGCAAAATATGGTGTAATTTATTAGAGTTTTTTCTGAACCGGGGAACACGGGCGCTGCGCCCTCTTACTTTTGGCATGCAAAATCAATTACTTAAATTAGCCTTTGATTATGTTTTGGCCTGCCATCTAGTGGCTCAGAAAATAATTGGCCCAAATCCAAACTTACTTGCCTACCCCTGCTTTAACTCAACATGTTTGAATGGCAATACGCAGAGTAGTAGATGTGTAGGCCTAACAAATATGTATTTATTAAAATAATCATATAATCATTGAAATTGGGATTCATGTTAATAATTACGAGTCAAATTTATCAAAATGTATCAAGTTTATCAAATTTGATTTCCTACCTTGATTGATTGATTTATTTTATTTCAAACAAGTAAAATAAATAATTTACAAAACAAAAAATATCATGCCAGAGAAAACAAAACAAAGTGACGTTTACAACAACAACAGCATTAGCAACATAAACAGTCCAACATCTAGTGTTCGAAAAGGAGTGAGAAGTATAATTTATTTAATCTCACCTCCTTGACCCTAAATTATTTATTTATAATCTATAAATAATTATCATTATTATTATTAATTATTATTGTAATTATTATTATATATATATATACACATTTACAATACATACACACATACACATACATATACATAGATACATACAGTCAAACATCCTCCCCATCCCTGTACCTCGAGAAAATAATTTCTCTGTATTTCCTCTTGAACTGGTTTCTTTCTGGACCTTGGTAATAAAGTGGTTTATTTTTGCAATGTCCACGTTTTAAAAAGTCCACATGAAACAACACCATAAGAGCGACTGGAGAAAAGTGTTTTGATTGATTTTAGTAGTACATTTACAGAAAACTGTAGTTTCCCCTTAGCAGACGCACTCCAATAACATCTGTCGTATCATAAATAAGTCGTCCACTGTGCATTCAGATTCTTGTAGCACCACAGTTGTGTTTTACTACATCCTGATGGATTGTCTTTCACATCATCACTTTGCTTGCATGTCTCCCTGTCTCTTACTGCTTGCAATGTCTATTTTCATCAGTCCAAACGCAAAAAAGCTACACAGAAAAAATGGTTTTAACATAGTAAAGACCCTTTTGCTATAAATGTCTGCATTAAATTCAAATGAAATGTACTGTATAATATGTACATACTGCCCTGATAGACACTGTACTGTAAACTTTGCAAATACTGTATCTCTAAATCATATTGTTAATGTACTTATTTTTTGGAAAATGTACATTTCTAGTTTTTCAAATGTATAATAGTTCTTAAAAAGTTCTGCATTTGTATTGTTTTTATTAGATAAATTCCTCTTATTGTGTATGACAAAGCAAATGTCTTAGCGTTACCGGCTTGCAGTCAACTTTTTTCTGATTCTGACCAGGAGGGCCAAATGTAACGACGGACCCCGCAAGCAGAGGGCCGTTTCAGAGGGAGCGTTAAGCTTCAGCTCCCTCTTCAGCACCGCAGCTCCGGAGCCCTCTACAGAGGGGAAAACCAGCAAGCACCAAGCTCGGGTAGGGTCTGTGGGGGCCAAACCCTGGGGGGCCGGGCGAGACCTGCCCTCTCTGCTGCAGCAGGTGTCTCTGAAGGGCCGCAGAGACTCTGGAGGGGTGTTCTCTGACGACATGGCCTCACTGCCCGGCAAGAAGCTCAACCTGTTCGCATCTCTAAGGCTGAAGAAGAGGGAGGAGTCAGAGAGCGAGGGGCGGGACCAGGAGATCAAGACCATCCTCACCAACCTCAGGAACAAAGGTGAGGACAGAGGTACCAGATGTTTTTAGCACATGGTTAGTTAAACCTGAATTAATATATATTTTGGTCACTTTATAAAGTTGGTATAGTCAATTCATTAGCAGACTTTGATCAACATTGGATTCATGTCTCTGGTGCCTGATGAACGTAAATGTAACTGCCTCCTTAACTTCTTAATTATTAGCTATGGAAAGCAGTTTGAGCATTCTATGATGAATATCCTTTATATTAGGAGTTTGCCAAAATTGCTAATTAGGTAAACCAGTTGCATTAAAATCTGGTAGTAGTTTTTGATGCTATCATGTTAGCTAACGCGATCAAGCTAACGAAGCAGGCGGGATAATGGCCACTATCGGAGTCCTGATTAGTGGGTATTTTTTATTTTCACTGGAGAGCCAATAGTAACCCTTAATTCATGCTCCTTTTCTTTGCTTGTAGCATTGTGTGTAACTAGTCAGCATTTAGGCTATTACTACTTTGACTAGTGGAGCTTTTGAAGCTCACTAGTTTCTCACAAGTGTAAATCGTGGACATATTGGAATGCATTAGTTAACTAGCTGGTTAACTAACCTTTTTGTTCAAACCCAAAATGTTTAATCTACTCGGCTATTCTCAAACGTTTTATTTATTTGGTTTTAATCTAGCCTCCAGCCAACAGAATCTTGATGAGCCTTCCTCCAGTGATGACGAAGATGAAAACCTGACATCCAATCAGAAGGTTTGTTTGGATCTTTTCCATATATTGAAAGACAACACAATTCAGGGAGTCGTTACAAAAACTTTTTTTGTAAGTGTGTACATTTTCTGAAATGCTGTGTACTTCCTGTCCCAGCGGTGTCCCGAGAGACAGAGGAGGAAGCAGGAGAAGACGGTGGCCCAGCAGTCCAAAAGGGAGCAGCTGAAGAGGCTCCACAGGGCTCAGGTTCCAAAACCTTTTCTTTTTGAATCACTCATTTAAAAAATGGTCCATAACCGTCTTTGCATCACAATTTCTTTCCCTTACATGTTACAGCCCATCCACATGGCGGCGTGCGTTGACGCTTCAACGCTTCTGCCCATTCACTTTGAATGGGGTGATGTCACGCTTTGCCGAACTGCATTGTGGTTGCTCGCTTCAAAAGTTGAGAAAAATTAAACTTTTGAAGCTTCGGCAGAAGCGTCAGCCAATCAAATCATATGCCAGTACAAGCTCTAGCCAATCAAACCGCGTGCTTGTGTGTGGGCGGGAGATTCATGTGATTGGTTGTTGGTCGAGCTTCAGACACGCCCACCGGCAAGCTTCAACCCAATGCCGCCGTGTGGACGCTGCGTTATAGTATTGGATGCAGAAAGTCCAATAAAGATATCTCAAAACCTGGGTTGCGTTCCAATAGTCCATTTAGCTTAGGAACCTTCCTAACCAAGTGAAATGATCCGGAAGTACGTCAGTGGCAGCCATGTTAAGTGCCGTTCCAATTCTCTAAATGATAGGAAAGGAGGTTTCAAACTTCCTGTATATCCTCCTTTAGCTTAGGAACCACTGGACCTCCCTCACCGAAAGGAGAGGAGAAACTGCTGCCCCACAATGCCTTGCAGCCGCCGTCACCCAACAGTCGGCCGTTCACGGAAACAAACAATTATGACCGAGAAATGATATCATGAAAGTTACGGTGCTTATTAAGCATTTTAAAACGTAGGTGGTAAGTTGCCAAAGTGCTTTGTTTTGAACGTTCATCAGTATTATAATCAAAAAGAGAAATATGAACATTAGTTTTTACTGAAATTGTCAAATAAAGTCAACATTTCACTGAGCTGTGTGGGGTTTGTTCAACTTTTAAAAGATGTTTGAATGGTGATGTACACAGTGATAGGTTTTAAGGACTAACGTTTATAATAAATACATTTGTATTTATTTTAAGATATTTTCATACAATCATACGTATTGGGATCATTTGTATTAATGTGGACCGGAGGGAGAGGGTGACGAGCATACATTTCACTTTCCTTTT